TTACGCTACATATAGGAGTTAATTTACAGGTAACTTGTTGATTTAGTGTTTATCACAAGCAACCTCCACATTAATGAGTCACTTAATCTTCCATTATACCATCGCCGTTTTGGAACTGATAACAAAAATATATACTTAAATGAATTTAGACATTTCGAGTAGGATTACATAACAGCGTGTAGGTGTGCCATTTGTTGGCTCCAGTGAGTTTAGTTTCTGGCCACAATAAAATATGCACAGAAAATGTAATTAAGTTTATTCCAATTGCCACACCGTCATACAGATACGTTCCTATGGTTGCCAGATTCATCTGTACTTGAAAACCTCCACTCGACCACTTGTCTTTCCGACCGACAATGTGTCTTGACTAGAAAAGAGGAGGTCTCTCAGGCCATCGACTTGCCCCAGAGATTGAAGTCTTTGTCCGTAACTGTCTATTATCTCGATAGAACCTGAAACTAAATCTCCCAGTACTATGTTATCGTTGTAATCAAAACCGACACAGAAATGTTTGGTTGAGATGTCTAGGAGGTACTTTTCGTCACCAGGAATAACCCGCCCATCACTGAGGTATCGAAACTTCACTTGTAGGTCTCCGGTCATCACCATAACGTGACCATGAAAAGCACCTTCACTGCTTTTATTGGTGTGGGTAGTTATAGCCACCATGTCAGATACTCGGCTTGCGGCTATATACTTAGGATGGATGATGTTACCGAATCGGTCCCGCTCAAAAGTGACCACCCTTTTCCCTTGTGGTGTGTACCGACTCACGGCACCAACTATGTCCGGGAGGGTATCCTTGAAGGATGATAAAAGAGTGACCAAGATGTCACCATTACTTGCAACACATATTTTGTTAGGCATTAGAGGATCTGTACTGAAGGTATCCAACTGTTTACCGTCCAATGTCATCTTCGTCACACTCAGTTTATCAAAAAAGCCAACGAGTAGACATTTGTCATCGGTAATTACCATTCCACGAGGTTCTGATTCATACACTAGACGGCGGATTAATACACCTTGTTCATCACAAACGTATATTTGATTTTCCCGAAACACTATAGCTATATATGACTGATCTTTCTTGGATAGTGCAACACATTTGATAGAACCCCCATTCCCAAGTGAGAACGAGGAGACTGACTGCAGTGATTTCTGTCTATAAACAGTACCCACAAAGTCCGAGGTGTCTTCGTCTGTAAATCTGCTTCTAGATTCACATTGTTGTAGGGCTGATAAGGAACCCATGATAAGAGTCTTATTGATCTCCTCTGCTCCTATGTCGGGTGTGGTATCATTGGGAAGACTTTCTACTTTTGGTGTCGTCATCGATTTCTTCTCGTGTTGGATTATCTGTAGAAAGTCCTCAGTTTCCAGAATATGTCCCAACCTTTCTTCTGATGATTGTACCGTCGCAATAGCGTTTCTACTGGTTGTCTGCTCCATGCTATTGATTGTTTCCATCTCTCTCTTCTGGTCCTCTAGGAAGTTAACGTTTGCCATGGATGCATCATGGAGTCGTTTCTCTGCCGCTTTTCCGGCTTCTTGGTCGCCATTTTGTGTCTATTGTGAGACCTCGCTTTATAGAGTACACAAACAAAGCAAGACTTACATTGCTTGGCACACCATGATGACGGTTTGGTTAGCCGACCAATTCATGATGTCACTGTAAACATAGAAAGTACTACGTGTTCAATATGTCATTGCACTTATTAAACTGTTATAATGAAATTGTAATATAAAATGTAGCACATGGTTAATATGCAGTTTATTTACTGAACATCCATACCATACGAATTATTTATCTGGTCCAATATGGTGGCAATAGACACGAATCTTCTCTATTAGCGTTTTGTTATTGTGCAAATGGTCTTAAATAAATCAATGCACGCAAATTACTTGGAGAGGTCAAGTGAACAAGCATCTTAATTGTTTATAAAATATCTCGTAGAAACTTTTGATATTTGTTACATTATCATATCAGATATCAAATAAGTTATTTATCTCGTAAAAGATTCGGCATGTACAAGGGTCAATCAATAAATTACGTTGCTAGTGTCAAGAATCACATGTATATAGTATATGGTATATAGTTTGATCTTACAACCTTTCGAAGCCCCCCTCCCCAAGGCAGAAAATGCACTATTCAGGACGTAAATGCTGCTCGGTAGTCTCCTTTTGGTATACTAGTGAGACACTGAAAGAGTGAATTACCAACAGTACTCCTTTAGACATACCGTTTCCCAGAATGCATTTTCTTTACTAAAGGCAAACAGGAAGAAGTCAAAGTAACTTAGGCTCTTGTGAATTCTGTACTACATTCGCTTGCTTCAAAATAGCCAGTGCAGTATCGCTTTTGTGTGATAAAGCATTGTCGTGAATATCTTGGATGCGATTCAGCCCTTTACTTTGATATTTTTTTCATTTTGAATATTTTGGCAGATTTCATTACTTTGTCTCAACCGTATCTGATATACAGTCCCACTAGAATTGAAAAAATGGCATATTAAATGTTTTGACGCTTTTTATACGTCTTGTAATCACTGGCCTATTTTGATTTCTCGACACTCATTATTTGTTATTAATGCGCATCTGGGGTTAAAAGTGACACATCAAGGTCATCCCCTGTTAGAACTCAGATACATTTCTTTAGTCGCAATTACCGTAATTTATAATATACTTTTAGGACATTTCATACGTTCGGCCTTTTGCTCAGATGTCAGCAAATGGGGGATCCATCTTAAATGTATACTGCTTTCTGTTATGCCAACCATAGCTAGCTATCTTAGAAACAGTATAACGACCAAGATCCTTGGTTTTTGCTTTCACAGCAGCAAGGAACTTCTTTGATGCTTCAAAAACTGGCATACTTGGCCGCGTGTTTTCTTTGGTGTCAACTTTACTATTCTTTAATTTGTTCAACCACCTAAAAACAATTCTTTATGTGACGGAAGTGGTGCTTTTTTATGCTTCACAACTCTGCATGTATCTGTGTTGGCGGTATCTGGAAAGAACACTGTACTTTTAAATAAGAGCGTATTTCAGATTAAGAAAAAACTTCATTTTAGCATTGAAAAGTAGCCAAAAGTCACGATTGCATGCGATTCAACAATGAATACATTATTTAATTATTATCGGATGAAGTCGAAATTTTGCGCGTGCATATTTTTTTTTAAATGTTTTGCAATCTGCCAAGGCACTAAAGTATCATATTGCCCGTCCGTACGGGTGCTGTGCTGTGACAAATTTATTGAACGGCTCTCGTTTATGTCATCATTTACATAACTGAAATATTATTTAAAATTTTAAAGAACAATATTGGTTAACTTAATTTAAATAAGTTAATTTTAATATTTCACATTCCTTTAGTAGCCTCCAGAACAGACTACCCTATTAAGATAAGCTGAGGCCTAGTGCAATGCATTGGACAACCGTGAGTATGTCGCTATCATCCTGCCTATCTGATATCTGCCTTCCTTGTGGTCTGTTAGTAAGCTTGTCAATTCTAGAGAGACCTTCTAGCAGCTTTCAACACGTTAAGATTTTCAAAAAAGGACATCAAGTTTTAAAATCATCTGTTGAATTTGGTTTCTATTTAGTAAATTAGTTTCATAATAACATATGAGGGCTAACTAAGATATTCTAGGGTGATTGTACCTTTGATTAAAATGATAAGAATTATCAAGATATGAAATTACTTGAGATTCAAAAAGATTATCTTAAAATTTTTATACAAATATCACTAATGTCTGTTGCATGCAGATAATATTACAAAAAATAATTGCTGCAGTGTTTGCAAAGTAAGATACATGTTCTTAACAGTTGTTAAATGTCGTCTAATTCTAACTTCAAGTCTTGATTTGATGACAGTGATAATGTTGCGTCCTTTCAACAGCTTAAGGCCTCCAATACTTCCATTTCCTGTGTTTACAAATGATAAGCTATAAGATACGAAGTGGTAAAATGATACAAATGATCTCCCCTGAATAACTCAAGATTTACGAAACTAGCATCCCAGGTATGTATGGTATGGACATAAATCATCATTTTTGGGTAAACGCATTTATTCAACAGTCTCCGAAAATAATCGGCTTGCGGCTATATATGCTTATATGTGTACTTAGGACAGATAGTGATGCCGAATCTTTTGTTGTGTACCGACTTACGACTCGAACTGTGTTCCGAGTGGAATCCTCGAACGACAAAAGAAGAACAACTGAGACATCACCGTTCCTTGCAACACATGTTTTGTTAGGAGTAGGAGGATCTGTACTGAGAGTGTCCAACAGTTTACTGTCAAATGTCATCTTCTTCACGCCCATTTTATTACTAAGGTTAACAAGTAGGTATTCAGCAGCTGTAATAACCATTCTACAAGGTGATTGATTACGACATCTTTCTTGTCGCAAAGATATATACTATTTTCCCATATATAGTTACCTTATGGCTGACCTTTCTTGGAAGATGCAACACATTGGATGTTACTGTTATGCAGAAATGAAAAAGAGGAGTCTGACTCTAGTGATTTGTGATTATAAACCGTACCCTCAAAGTCTGATGTATGTTCGTCGGCAGTGATGCATTGACCTAGAGGTTCATGTAACCTATGACATCAAGAACATAATTCTAACCTAAATCGCTCAACGTTACATAAGCTGCGTACACCGTATTGCAATGTGTGGATAGGAGGACAGCGAGGATTACACTAAGGACGTCGCTCCGTGGACCACAGGAGCTGTGACAAGCTGTCCGCATATGAGGAGCTGTCCGACCTCAGAGCGTGACCTGGATGGGCAGAACTTAGAATCTCCGAGGGCCTGTTAAGCGGCAACTTACCTCTTCACGTCGACCGAACACCGACTTCGTTAGTGAGTGTAGACGATAAAACCTGCAACCAACTAACCAACCAACCAACCAACCATGGCAGTGTGGCTTCAGGTTAATATGTACATATATTGACAATACCCTTTTAAACCATACTTAATTAATGTATTTACCTGGTAATTAACTCCTTCTGTTCTGGTCTGTCAGCTGGCGGGGCTACACTTTGTACCTGAGCTGATATAGCGTGTATCATTTTATCTGTTTGTTTTCTCGAGGATGTATTTTGCGATAACGGCTAGTTTTTATGTCCAAATTAAATCTTTCAGAAAGGCTGGTTGATTTATTATCAAAATATTTATAATATTAATGAGAACAATGACCAACATTTAACTGTATTAAAAACGTTTTTGAAATAAGATATGATTTGACAGGAATAATACATCAAAATGACTTTGAAAGACATTCTAAAAACAGAAAAGAAAACATTTTGTTGAGAAAGGACAATTGTGGTTAACAAAATGGATATAAATAAACTGTAAGGTATTTTCTTACAATCATCTAGACTGGGTAAGATTATGAATGTCAATATCTAGTAGGTTTTTACTTAACCTTAACTATTTGTCCAACATTAAAGACGTACCTAATAGTAAAGTTTCTAATATTATTCTATTACACCAATCCCATTCGATGTAGAGGTTATGCTATACTTTGCGTAACTTTTGTAATTTGATTTCTTACTCTGACGTCAAAGAGGTTTTAATTAAAGTGTCACAGTTACGTAAAAGACGAACGTCACGAATATGAAATTTACTGACTGTCGTTGCTATCAGTGCGGTACATAAGAAAGTAAAAAAAGTCCCTAATGAATCTGAACTTTCTTTTTTAAGATAGAAAGGGTCGACAACCCACATTTTAAAGAGGAAATTTAAATTTAGCCTACTGATAGTGAATGCAAAGAATATGACTTAAAATTGAATATAAATGGTATTTTAGAAAAAATCTTTTCAATAATTATAATCTACATTTGATCTCTGCCACTGATACCACAAATGTAGTGAAAGGCAATATCTGAAGTTCTCTGGCACTGCTTTTAGCATTGTGGCTAAGATATTTAGAGTGATGTTGTTAAACTGCATAATGGTTAGTTATGCATTTTAGCGCTTTTTATACATGCTATTTAACACAAATGATGACGGATATAGTGAGTGGGTCCAGAGGAAAATCGTAATATCGTCTCTTATCGCAACAGTGACTTTGTCCTTATAGCGCATGAAATGTGAGGCAAATTATTGAAGACGCCGCATATCTCACTGTGATGAAGGGATATGTTAAATAATGATTTTCAGAAAAGTTTCCCTTTACCATGGCATGGTAATGCACTTGAGATTTGTACATGTGTTTATTGGGGAGATGAACCTTGATAGTCCAAAGAAAAGACTTGGCCAAGCATCGAGTTTTGCCGCCGAATTTAGTGGGGAGAAGTGTGTTCGTGAAAACGTAAAATTGTAATTTTTCATTAACATAAATCATGTCAAATATGGGCCATTGTGTTTCACAATGTCATCATCTAGTATATAACTTATTTGTTATTTCTGTTGGACACACCTGTTGTCCGTATCAACAAAAAGTTCATAGTTAAAAACGTGTGCATAGGAAATGATTAACCCCGGTCTTGCGTACATAAAGCTAGCCTAGAAACCGGCAGCTACGTCAGTCTAATCGGCATCCTTAAAATAACCCATACAGTGCTCGTAGCAGGCATTGGGTGCTTTTATTACAGATGCAAGTTAACATACTTTCGGAATGCTTCGCCATTGATTTAGTCGCTAAAGCTGGGAAGCGTTTACAATGTGCAGAAAAGGAAGTGTTGCTTTGTATTTCATAACGCATAACAACAATAGAAACGCATTGATACTTGTGATTTATACATTTGAGGGCTGCTTTCTTTTTTCTTTATCAACTTATTGTATTGAGATCTTGTTACTTTAAAAATACTCCATATTTAATGCATTTTCCTTTGAATAAAATTACGAAGGTATTATCAAGAAACTAATATGACGAAAATGTGACAAGGAGTTCAAGTATTCAGAGAAAATTCTATTTTCCTCGTTGACTAATATTGCCTTAATTAAATGAGAAAACATTCTACAAATTATATCTAAGGAAAATCTTTCTAATTTTGTTGGGTTATAAAATGATATCTCTAGTCGAGCACTTTTTAATACATTATATGACGAATCAATTTATTATATATTTACTGGTACTCAACTGGAGCTATCACCTAATAACCTGACCAAAACAGAAAATAAATCATTATATTTACAGTCCATTTTTGTGAACAATTTTATTAGTCTGATTAGCTTACATAAGTTTCATTTCCCAAATTTATTAACTTGTGATCAGTACTGTTAGTATAATAGGCAGAAACTTGCATGAGCCATGGTCAATTCCGCTCTAATTTACTGTTGACGATGTCACACAACTTGCTTCATCTGCGGAAAATTTGCATATATCTGTCGACATTGTTGTCGACGTTATGATCCTTAACAACATCGAAGGTAATTGATTTCTGTCAAGAGTGCGTGTTGACACCCCCCCCCCCAACCCCCTCCACAAAAAAAACTTGCAAGGAATTCTTATATGATCCTTTTCAGTTATTCATACTTGCGGCTTGACTTTTTCAAAATAAAGCACTAAAGTTTATTGCAGTAATGGTAGAAAGTATTTATACCTATAGTGTCCATTAGATATAACAATTTTTCCTCAAAAATAATTAAATAATCATGACAAAAAAGATCGACCTTCATATCGCATAAAGAAAAGGATATAACTAGAGGAGATCTTGATGCCGACCATAAAGATATTCATCAATCTGTATGTCTCGACATTTAAAATCACCGATATAATGCCGCTAACTAGAAATGCTTTGTCAGGTTGACTTCTGTAAGAGTGCTTCTGGTCTCAGCTTTTAGTAGGCGTAGTTTCCGCTCTTTTGCATTTGTCTCTTAAACAGCGGTCATAAAAAACTCCAATTCAGAAATAAAGTTCAACCTTTATTATCGGAATGTTTACATAAGGACATTCATACAAAAAGGAAAACCAAATCACAACGGCAGATTGAAACAGTATGCTTTAAATTATTGGTGAATTCATTTAAACAAATTTTAATCATGATGGTATATAAATGGGATCGAACAACATGCTTTTGCCAATAAAAGTTCTCTCCTTCATACATTTGTATGAAAATTGAAAAATAATAATTATATACATAACATATTTCAATGTGCAAGTCAACGGCATAGGGGAGATAACTCAAACTGTTTATAGGAATTACAGGTCAAACAGTTCTGTATCCTGACCTCATCAGGGTAATGAGTGAATATTAACCATCTTTCTTCAATAGATCCTCCCTAGGAATTCAAGATCTACACAGAGTGACTCGTAGATAGTTAAATATAAAGATTATATATAATTAATATGATGAAAAAGCTATGCCAATATTGTATGGTATGTTAACATTCACATTATAATATGTTAACAATATAATTATATAACTACTTCTTATGCATGTTGAGTTTGATTTATGGGGTGAGCATATCACATTCACATTGTGTTTATTTATAAATGTTTAATGGTATTGCTAACATCAAGTAGTAGATCACTAAGCATGTTTGATGTCAAAAGTTCTTTTAACTTGAATCTTCATGTTTACAATATAAGTACGTTATAGTATAAGTGTATAACTTCATAATAGGAAATTACATTTATATAAACCTTTTAGACACGTGAGTTAGGTGAATGAGTATAAGAACCAAAAGACATAGTTCAAAATTACCCAGATGCATTAATTCCAGAAATTTTACGTTCTGAAATATGAATATTTACATGTGATAGAACCCGAGATTTCCGCACATATAACAAATATGTTTTTAGAACATTATAACGGTTCTTGGTAAAAAGTTTCAAATGTTTTATGATCACGAAAAATTAAAAAGAAATCAGGGTAAGAAGTATGGCATATTATTGACAATACACATTCTTATTTTGAAATGTAACTTTGACATCCCTATACAATTATTACAGAACCCTTATAAAGCTACGAGTCACGACCGATTACTTGTGCCAATAAAAGACGAATTTAGAATGTATATAATATATCTGTATAATAAACACTCTACATTTGTACAAAAGAAATGAGAAAATAGTATCAACTTTGTATAGTCATAAAATGAAAATGATATTTAAAATAAACTGCAATGATATGATTGGATGTTAATGTCTTAAAACTGGTAGTTAAAGAATGAACAACAAGTTACACAGCTTAAACTTGATATATTCCGCATTGTCTACTTAATTTCTCTTTCGTGGATTAAACAAATCTTCTCATATACCATTGAGTCGAATGATTTTACACATATAAAGTTTGTTATTAGGCAACGTCTTGATTTAAATATAGACATGTTATGACATCCTCGATACTCCAGGGGTTAAACTCACTTTCGCTCTCTGCATCCCTAGAATATGTCATAGCAAAATCGAAAGCTTAGTGTGTGTCACTTTGTGGATGAGACGAGAAGACAAGTTTGACCATTTGATAAACATCAAAAGAATATGTCGGTCGCGTAACGGTAAAATTGACTGGCTCCTCTGTAATGTTCTGGAGTATCGAGGGTGATGTTTTGGTTATACTTTGTGTTCTCCACACTTTACATTTGTGTCAGTTACCTAGATTAACGTGTGTTAACGGCACCATATATAGTGTAAAACACATAAACTGACTGTTTAACTCGACAACTAACACCATAGTTCATCTTCTGAAGAATGTCTTTTCTGTATTCTATCAAAAGAAATATTTTAAATACACGAGAATTAAGTATCGATACGGTGTTTGTAAAGATGTTCACCATAAACGATACAATATCATCTACACCCTTAGATAACAAGATATTTGATAAACTATTATTCAAAAGATAAGTTTTGTGTTGAATACAAAATAAACACGTAATATTAATCATGATAATAAATATTGCATATATACATCTTTACACAGTTGAAATAAAGAAACGAAACATATGGCATAGTCAACGTACAAGGAGAAAATTCAATCTCTAAGGTCGATATAAAAATTCGGGAATAAAAGAAACAAGTTAATGAAAAGAAACTAAAGACATTGTGAATCTCCATAAAACTGAATGGCGAAACCGGGTGTTCATAAAACT